GTATTACAAACTTAAAGGTTTTCTCACTAATGATGAGATGCCTTATTGAGTTCAACTCAAGTGATTTTTCCCAAACCCAAAACTTGGGTATTTATAGGGAATGGAGACTTGATCTCCCTTCTCCCATTAATGTGGGAGATTTGCAATTTCCTCAATTTTATTTTAATCAAAAACAAAATAAAAATGCAAGGCAATCAACAAGCTCCAAGTGTCACATGGAAGGCAAGAGGGTAGGTGAGGACCACCAAAGGGGGGACCAAAGCACCTTGCTCCCCAAGCCAAACACCAAGCAAATGGTCCCTCCCTTGACCAAGCTTGACCATGCCACTTAGCTGGCTGGCAGCCTGCCTTGGCTCCCAAGGCTGCCAGCTGGCGCCTAGCACCAAGGCTGGGCAGCCCAGCCAGCCAGCACGCAGCACATGCGCAGCCAAGCAGCGCATGGCTAGGCCAATGCGAGGCTACGGCCTAGCTCGAACTTGTCTCTTGTTTGATTTCTCGTCTCGTCGAATTCTAAACTCGACTCTACTTGCGACGCTCAGTTTCGACGCTCTATGCTTGTTGTCCGACGTCTTTGTTCGTAATACTCTAATGACTAATCTAATCCGTCGGATTGATTCTTCGTCTCGGAATGGTTATTTTATAGGGGTGCGACCCGAAGGATTCAAACAATATTAAGTCGTAATATTAATTATGCATTAATATTACTGATCGAAAGCGGCCTCCACCTCGGCATTCTGATCACTTGACCTCACTGAAGAATTTGCTTTCTAATAATTCCGAACCCTCTATCGAAATAATACACTTGTTGGAAAGACACCATTCCTTTCAATCTCCCACTTGTCCTTCCGGAAAAATGTGCAGTTAGTGTATAGCCCATTTCCTATGTCGCTTAATGTCTCTTCATGAACTATAAGGTAAGATTCTTCGTCATCCTTATTACGTCCAGAAGTGTTTCTCGATTTTCGAGTTTAACTGTCAATAAGCAGATGATTTCTAAAATCCATCATAGAACGGTCATGCATTTTTACAGTCTCATTCTTCGAGAGGCCTTATAAACAACAAAGACATATTCCCTACTATTAATAGGGGGATATTCCAAGTTTGTATTGTTAGCTTCCCTTACTAAGAGGACCTAGTCGCCCGAGTGTTGCCGTTATAATCCTTATTTACGGCAGACATTTGACAACATCAAAACAGACTAGTACTCAAACAAGAGAACTACAATACTCATGGTCGAGGAAAGAGGTTCCGATAGCTATAATGAGAAATGTACTTATGACGGTTTTTAAATCTCTTAAAGTACTCTCATATGTCGATCCGGTACAGTTCCAAACTAGTACCTGTGCAAATGATTTATAACTATCATGTCCTCGTAGCACTAGAAATAGTGTTATAAATCATACTACACATTAATCTCAAGTGGTCATTAATCGTCCATCCTTTAAATGACCTTGATTAGGGAAAAAAATTTATTTACATATTCAATGTTCACTTAACAGGTGTTTCTTTATCTAAGACATTGTCTTGATACCCTGTTTTGAATATTCTTCAATTCGAATGGACTCATTATTTAATTCTAAACCACAATTAAATAGAAATGGAGTAATAATAAATTTACAGAAAATTAAATTGCTCCAAAACCGAATGGTCCAACATAGTGTTTTACCTGAAGACATCAAGTTTAATTAAAACACATGTACAGGAAAATCAAAGCCAATCTCCAACATGATTGATTCCAATTGCCTCAACGTGCTTGTTGTGCTTCACTTGAGGCAAAGGTTTAGTCAATGGATCGGCTATATTGTCGTCCGTTCCAATCTTACAAATTCTGATTTTATCCTCAGACTTCCATTCCCTTATCATGTGAAATCGCCGCTTGACATGTTTGACCTTCTGATGTTCTCTTGGCTCCCTGGCCTGAGCAATAGCTCCATTGTTATCACAATAGAGGTTTATTGGACCCTTGATGGAGGGTAACATCAAGTTCACTGATGAACTTACGAATCCAAGCTGCTTCCTTAGCTGCTTCCGAAGCTGCCAAGTATTCGGCTTCAGTTGTAGAATCTGCAGTGGTGCTTTGCTTAGCACTCATCCAACTAAACGCTCCTCCATTTAGGCAGAATATGTACCCTGATTGCAACTTGGAGTTGTCTCTGTAAGTCTGTAAGCTCGCGTCAGTATAACCTTCAACAACCAAATCACTACTACCACCATATACCAAGAACTTATCCTTGTTCCTTTTTAGGTACTTTAGGATTCTTAGCCACAGTCCAATTCGCCTCTCCTGGTTCTGATTGGTATCGGCTTATAGCACTCAAGGCATACGATACATTCGGCCTAGTACATATCATGGTTACATGATCGATCCAATAAGCGAAGAATATGGAATCTGAATCATCTTCTCTCGCTCATCAGGTGTCTGTGGACACTGCTTCTTGCTGAGAGTTATGCCATGTGACATGGGTAGGTGCCCTCTCTTGGTCCCTTCCATGTTGATCGTGCCAGTACCTTATCAATGTAAGTACTTTGACTCAATCCAATCATCTTTTTAGATCTATCCTTATAAATCTTGATGCCCAATATGTATTGTGCCTCTTCCAAGTCCTTCTTTGAAAAGCATTTTCCAAGCCAGCCCTTTACTGACTCTAACAGTTTAGTGTTGTTTCCAATGAGTAATATGTCATCGACATATAAGACGAGGATGCGATGTCACTCCCACTGACCTTTTTGTAAGCACAAGACACATCTGGATTCTTGATCAAACCAAACTTACTAATGGCTTCATCGAATCGCAGATTCCAACTTCTACTTGCTTGCTTTAGTCTATAAATGGACTTCTTAAGCTTGCATACCTTCCCAGCATTGCTTGGATCAAAAAAACCTTCCGAGTGCGTCATATACACAGTTTCTTCCAAAATCCCAACGAGGAAGGCGGGTTTGACATCCATTTGCCATATTTCATAATCATAATATGCGGCAATTGCTAGGATAATCCGGACGGACTTAAACATTGTGACTGGCGAAAAGGTTTCATCATAATCAACACCGTGAATTGCCTGTAACCTTTTGCCACTAATCTAGCTTTGTATATAGATACATTTGCATCTTTGTCTGTTTTCAATTTGAAACTCCATTTGCAACCGATAGGTTTGTAACCTTCGGGCAAATCAACCAAGTCCCAGACTTGATTTTCAGACATGGACTCCATCTCGGATTTCATGGCCTCTTACCATTTTGCAGAGTCGGGGCTCGTCATAGCTGGTTTGTATGTCACTGGCTCATCGCCATCCATAAATAGGATGTCTTGATCTTTGGTTAAGACAATACCAAGGTATCTGTCTGGTTGAGATCTTGGCCGTTGCGACCTACACTGGGTAATAGGTTGAGCATTTGCATTATCGGTTTGACTCTGACCAATGTCATTAGCTGCTTCTAAAGCACTTTGATTGTCAATTTTGTCAGGTTGACTTTGTTGCTCATCCTCTCGAACTTCTCGAGTTCGATTTTCCTCCCACTTGTCATTTTGGAAAGGTGTTCCTTCTCCAAAAAGACACCATCACGAGAAACAAACACTTTGTTATCGGATTTGTTGTAGAAATAATACCCCTTGGTTTCTTTTTAGTATCCCAAAAAGAAAAACTTGTTAAATTTTGGGTGAAGTTTGTCAGAAATTAATCTCTTGACATATGCTTCCCAACCCCAAATCTTAAGAAAAGACAAACGTGGAGGTTTCTTCGTCCATAATTCATATGGAGTCTTTTCGACAGCTTTTGACGGAGCATGATTCAGTGTTAGTGCCGCGGTTAGAAGTTCACTAAGACCCATCATAGATCGGACCATGTCTAACAAGGTTCGATTACTCCTTTCGGACACTCCGTTCCATTGTGGAGTTCTGGGAGGTGTCAATTCTGAAAGAATACCACTTTTTTTGAAGTGATTGTCGAATTCGTGGCTCAAATACTCGCCACCTCGATCCGATCGAAGTGCTTTGATTTTCTTGCCAAGCTGATTTTGAACTTCACTCTAAAACTCTTTGAATTTCTCAAAAGATTCAGATTTGTTCGACATAAGGTAGACATAGCCATAATTACTATAGTCGTCGGTCAAGGTAATGAAATATCGATAACCTTACCTTGCGGGTGTACTCATTGGTCCACATACGTCCGTATGTATTACACCCAATAAGTCACTAGCCCTTTTCGCCCAACTTTGAGAATGACTACTTTATCATCTTGCCTAATAGACATCCTTCGCAATTTTCAAACGACTCTAAGTCGAATGAGTCAAGGATACCTTCATGAAGAAGTTTCTTGATGCGTTTGATGTTAATGTGGCCAAGACGACAATGCCACAAGTAGGTTTGATTCGACTCGATGGTCTTAACTCTTTTGGCGGTATCGTTAATGATATGAACTTGTTTGTCTTGAGAAAGCACATAAAGACCATTTTCTGAATATGCCTTACCATATAAAAAATTATCAAAATAAAACGAACAACTATTGTCTTTTATTCAAAATTCAAATCCCTTAGCGTCTAACGCAAAAATTGAAATAATGTTTTTGGTAACTCTTGGAACATGATAACAATTGTCAAGTTCTAAACAAACTGAGAGTTCCCACGGATACGACAGACATTCTTGCACTAGGCGAAAATTGGTAATCAGCACCAGTTCAAAACCCTCACTTAGCAACGGTTTTGAACCGGTTCTGATTTGAGGGATGCCAAATCCCAAGTCTTTTCGGATCGATTCAAAACCGGTGCGAAAACTTAATTTTTCGCACCAGTTCTTGTTGTGAACTGGTGTGAAAAGTCCCCAAAGAAATTAAAAAAAAAAAAAACACTTTTAGCACCAGTTCTTGTTGTGAACCGGTGCGAAAAAATGGCCCAAAAAAATAATAAAAAAATCTTTTAGCACCGATTCCGTTTCAAAACCGATGCCAAAAATGCCCAAAAAAAAATGTTTTTTGCATTTTTTTTCACTTAAATTGTACCAAATACTTATATATAATCATAATATACATAAAACACATATTTTCTTCAATAACTTGTAATATTAAACTTTAAAAAATTGAAAAAAAAAAAGGCACATTTTCTTTTTTTACTTTGCAAAGGGCGTACAACTGGAAGGTACTCCACCTGGTCAATGAAAAGCAAAAATAATATCAATAAACAAGTCCGGCGCATTGTCAAATACTGATACAAACACTAGTTGACACTTCATATTTGACCATGAACAAGAAAATGTGTCATAAAATGATCAGATCTCACATTTGGACATGTACCAATATCCAATACTTGCAGGTAGCTCTAAGTAACAAGCATTATTCTAAGCTAACAAGTAAGCAGTCAAAAAAGCTAATAATGATACATTCATTGTCTTGTCCTCATTCAGCACAATTCATAATAGAGTATTATCCAAAACTTGACTTCATACCTCCTCTCCTCCCTAGCGCCACAAGGTTCAGCCCCTTCACGTGCTACCATTTCCTTATGCCAATGACACACTAAAGACCACCCTCCCCCCCCCCCCCCCCCCCCCCCCCCCCACCCAAAGAAAAGGAATTTTATATAGCTTACACAAGAATAAAAACAGTATCACATCATCAATGATCCAATTACTAGAATTATCCTTCATTTTGTCAACAATGCCACATAGCACAAGTGATAGGGAGCAGAAGATAAAGTAAATAAATAAGAAAGAATACCTCCATGAAATTGGTATCTCGTGTAAAACCAATAAATATATTGAATATAACAGGTTGATGAATTTGCAAGGTTGTATCCCAAAGGTCGACATGGCATGTCATGTGCACACAAGAGAACTTATTCCGAATCCACATATATAATACATCTTACTAGGCAAGCTAAATTATTTATCCCACATTTATTTCCAACACCAAACCACTATACCAAAGACTGTATGAAATTACATATCGCATTTTGAATCAAAATTGATGCTAACAATGATGCATACATTTTCCATTTTCCAGTGTTGCTATTTTTTAAAGTATTTTTAGCTCAATAAATTGCACATCCCATGACAACAACAAACCCTAAACAAAATCCTAGCATTTATGCAAAGTTAGGAAGGAAACATTTTCAATAAATGGGTAATGATGAATGGGAAAATAGAGGTAAAAACACCTTAACAAATTAAAAACGCAACAGCAATAATAGATCCTTTCATTGCACACTGATGTTTGAAGATAGCCCACAAGTTAGTTCCAATTTACAATTTGGACCTTGAATCATCCAAGTGTACTATCAAAGTATCAAGGATTGTTATCCTTGATGAGCTATAATTAGTCGATGTCATATCTAGTGACCAAAAAGTAATATTCTTTGTTTCAAAACATTACCTAGTCAAGTAGCCTCTTAGGATCTTGAAAAGCCTTTTTCTTGGCCCATTGATGAAATATTCGTGAAACCAGTGCTCGGTCTTCAACATTGAACCTGTAAACAAGTAATATTAGATTAGACTACAAAGAAAATTCAATAATATAATAAATAAATAAATAAAAAAAAAAAACCCAAGACATCAAATGCACCATTATAAAATGAACAATTACTACAACAACAATAACAAAGCCTTAGTCCCAAAATGAAGTGGGGTCAGCTAACATGAATCGTCACAAGAAACTGTCTGATATAGAAAAAGGGACATAAAAGTGCCATTGGGAAATTACTTTTTCAAGAAACTGTTTCCACTTAATGCCATTGGGAAATTACTTTTTCAAGAAACTGTTTCCACTCTATACAACAAGCATGCATAATAACGTCAACATACAGACTAGAATAGACAAAGTAGAAACATGAACTAGAGGTAAAAATCAGAGCAAATCAGAGCAGCATTGAATATATTTTGGGCAGGGGTGCCTCTACCAATTCCAGAAAATGAGGTCAGCAGGAAAGAGAGCAATGGAAAACATCAATCCCCAACAATGTAGGGCCTAACAGGATGTCCCCTCACATTGACGACTTTATCCCAGACAACATCACCAGACATGAGCTTATTGTAGAGAACACTATCCCTGAAATGAGTGGAATCATTAGCACTCCCTAGAGCCTTGACACAAACATCCCAGAAGATCTTATGGTCAGCCACCACCTGGAGCTGTATGGCAGGGTACCCATATCGACAATGATAAGATGAAGGGTCACTGACATCAGTAGGAAGGCAGTGGAGCTTGACAGGGGTGGAATCAATTGCACCGCACAAATTAGGCAGCGACGTGAGCTCATCAAAGGCCTGGGTGGTCTCATGGAGGCACCCCTGCCCAAATCAGAGGTGCAAATTAAAAAATTACCTTGAAAGTATTCTATCAAGCAACTCCCCTCCTCGACACAACTTGAAAAGGCAGGGAAACTAAATCTTAGCAGGTAGAACATCAACATTATAATGCTCTAGATTAACATCATCCATCACTAGTAAACATCAATTATGGGTTGATGGCAATTAACAAGCATGACTCTAGTAAAGGCAGACATTACAAGATTATGTTTAGCCTTTAGGTATAATGATGTTTACAAAGAAGGCAAACATATATTTTTGACTTTATGTCAGCCCAATGAAGGTAATAGGCCTTCACAAAGCTCAAAATGGCATGAAGGAATGCAGCAAACATCAGACTTCATACTAAGAATCAATGTAGACAAGCATAGTATAAGTAAGCGTGAAGACTACTTAGTCCATCACAATGTAAACATTTTCGTTGTCTTCATATGCGTCGTAAATTTTTATGAGCTTGGGATGTCCGGCCAGACCTTTCAAGATTTTTACCTCCCTTCTAACATCCTCAATTGCAATAGCCGTGGTCATCTAACAAAAAGACACAATGAGAAAGAATTAGTGCAAAAGATAAAATTACCAACCAGATAAGTCTTGGATGCTCAGCTGGATTTTCTTAATATCAATGCATAATAAACTGCCTAATTAAAATTGCAATTGCACTTTCAAATCCTATAAAAACACTAAAGATTGTCGTACATTTGCCAATAAGCTACCAATTTTTTATAAAGATAGTTGAGTTAAACTGAGTACACACTATGGTCCTCCTATAAATTTTTCCTCATCAGATTTTACTCTCTTAATTAGTTCAGGCTGAATTCTACATCATTACCAGTACAATCCATATCTGACAGTAATGTACAAAACAGTAGTTTGATACATAATTCCAATGAATAGAACTTCTAAATCTGTTCACCTTTCCTTTTCCCATTTTCACTCTTTATTGCATAAATTCAGATATGTTACAAAATCGTTTAATTCAGTACCTGTACTTGGACGAAGAAGATCATCCATCATTTCCCTCAACAACACTCCATCAGTAAGAAACTTAATTTTGGTAACACCCTGTGCTTGCAAAACAATATCATTCCACAACGATTACATACAAGTAAAACACACTGCACAAATTGCATGTAATGCAAGTTAAAAATTATGCACATGAATGAGAGTAAGAAATAGAAATTGGCCAGTGAAAGGGTCTTATCGGAGTTGTCACATCCTCAAATCTGATTACATATCCAACCTCCTCTCCAAGTTTAACACCCATTTCTTCAACAACCCTTGAAGCAACTAACTGAAATTTCATTTGTTAAAATGGAAGAGCATAAAATCGTTTATTGTATATGATACAATTAGCAGAAAACCAACAAAATATAGGTCTAGGTAACATTCCTAAGCTAATATATGCATGCCAGAGTTCCCCCCCCACCCCCAAATTTATTGTAGCGCAAAATTGAGAGTGATACACTCTTTTGAACACAACTTTGAAGCATGCAAATCTATATTTCATTTCTGAAAAAATAAAAAGATATAGCATGATAATATGTTAAGATTGAGGTCCAATACACTGATTCTCATCAATTTACTGCTGAATATTGGCCTAGTATAGTTTGGTTTATTTAGTAATGTGCAATTTCAAGTAACAACTTGGAATTAATCCCACAACTTGACAAGAAAGAATATACTAGCATTGAGAATACAATTTGTAAGGTGAAGCAAATGATCATATTCAAAAAATTGGCATCATTAAAAGAACTTTGATCCATACCATGAGCTTAGACTTTGTTCCCTTTGAAGGTGTGGCCTTGATAGGATCACGAGTGGCTGAAAATCCCTAAGGTGTAGGAGGATTCGTTCGTATGGGCGATACCTTAGCCTCGCGCTTAACATTGTTCAAATTCAGAGAAATAGGGATATTCTCTACTTCATCATCTCTCCTGAAACATTCACAATTGAAGCATCAGCCTCTTGGGTATAACACAACAGTACTAGAATTATATGAACATCATCAAAATCACAGTACATAAGGAAGTAGCAAACATACATGTTTCTCTTGAGCTTGGGTCTGGCATTGGTTTTGAGTGCACCTTCAGATTTAACCTCTTCCTTGGTGCAGTGACAATTGATCCTCCTCTTCCTCAGGGCTCTCATCCTCTTTGTCCCTAACTCTGGTAATCTTCTTTAACTCATTATAGAAATCGCTAATTTTACCAAAAAGGTCCCTCCCACCAAACAAGTCTTTAGCAGTATTAGTAGGTTTTAATCTGGGTTTTTCATCAGTCCTAGAAAAGTCATCAGTATAATGATGGTGATAAGATTCGACATCAAAAACCAAGCAACATCATCGAATGAGGAGAAGAAGGAGAAGCCAAGATTCGACAACCCTAAAACAACAACAACAACCTCCACCATCTAACCTAAGAGCAGCTTCCACCGCAACGGAGCACAACAACAGAGGAGCCGCATCAAACACCCTCAAATCTAAAGATGAAATCAGAAATTTTAAAACGAAAATAAAAAATTCTAGATCAATATCTGAAAATTAATACGATTCAAAAATTAAAATAAGAAATTTAGATCTAAAATAATTGAGAATTAACGAAATTTTATAATGGATGAAAATATATAAGAAATTTGTAATAGAAGTGCTAATAAGAGATCTCAATATCACACCTTGATGGAGGAGGCAGCGGCACCGAGCAAGAACCGAAAGGCGTGGCGGAAACATCACGACACTCAATATTACTCTTCTTTTTCTTCTTCCTCAAGGTTGTGCTTGGTTATGGAGAAGGAGAAGGAGATCGAAAGAGAGAAGAAAGGAAAGGAGAGAGCGGCAGACCAGTACGCTTCAATGAAGGAGAGAGAGAGGAGGAATAATTGTGGAATTGAAAGAGAAACAAAGAGCTGAAATGAAAGAGCTGAGAAAGAAAGAAAAACCGTTTTATTTTTTTATTTTACAACAGTTTTCGCACCAATTCAAACTGAACCGATGCGATTTACTCACTTTAACAAACTTATCGCATCGGTTTGGTTAGAACTGGTGCGAAAACTCTTTCCCTCAATCCCACCTTTTTTTTATTGCACCGGTTTTCAAAAACCGATGCGCATTTGGCGGTGCTCATTTCATATTTTCTACTAGTGTTGCTCCGTTGCCGACCTAAAGCTCGACCTCTCCCTTCTCTAGCCTCCTACTTATCCTTAGTCCCTGAGCATTGGAACAAAGGTGTGAGCCACATCCAGTATCTAATACCTATGATGTTTTGCTAGAGAAGTTTAAGTCTATAACAAAAATTTCGATACAGAAGCAACGGTGCTGTTCTTCTTATTTTCCTTGAATTTGAGGAAATCCCGCTTCCAATGTCTTTTCTTCTTGCAGTAGAAACATTCGGAATCAGATTTAGAAGAGGCTACCTTCTTGTCCTTGCCACTCTTAGCAGCACTTGACTTAAGCGAAAAATTCTTCTTCTTTTTCCCTTTAAAGCTTCTCTTCTTGCCCGAGCGCTTAAATGGCTTGTCCTTTCTCACCATGATCATGTCATGCTTCCCCTCATCCTTGAGGGTTCGCTCGGCCTACTTCAACATACCATAAAGCTCGGTGAGGGTTTTCTCCATGCTCTACATATTATAGTTTATCTTGAACTAATCATAGCCTTTGTGCAGCGAGTGGAGAATGATGTCAATTTCCATCTCGGTCGAATACCCAGCATCGAGCCTTTCCATGTTCTCAAATAATCCAATCATTTTAAGAACATGCGGGCTGATTGGCTCTCCTTTCTTGACCTTGCTCTCGAGGATCTGCCTGTGGGTTTCGAACCTTTTAGTTTGGGCCTGCTCTTGAAACATATTTTGAAGTTCAGAAATGATCTCAAAAGTCGTCTCCTTTTCAAAGAAAGTCTTTTGAAGGTCAAGAGACATAGTGGCCAGCATGATGCAATTGACATCCCGATTGGCACTTTGCCATCGGTTAAGGGCAGCCTGAGTGACCTCCTCATTGGGAGTGTCAGGCATTTCCTCATCAAGGACGTATTCCTTTTGCTCTTGCATAAGAACAATACGCAAGTTCCTTTGCCAATCAAGAAAATTTGGCCCACTCAACTTCTCCTGTTGAGAATTGAGCGTAATGAAAACTGGTTATTAAAGTTATTTGCAGACATGTTTCTACAATTGAAAGAATTTGAAATGAAAAAACAAGTTTGAAATTTAAAGCGTTCATGCAAATTTTCAATCTTATTGAGCATTTTATCCACGCATTAACATTAGTCCCTTTTAGGCGAGAATAAAATGATTCCAAGATCCCAAAAATCAAAAAGTGATTAAGCATGCTTTGGCTTGTCTTAACACTTAATATTTTAGGGTAAGCAATCCAATTGCTAATAGCTCCAAGCTACTCTTATATCAATAAAATGTCGCATCTAATGCTTCCTTGACATTTTATCTTCATTCCCACGACATCTAAGGACTCCTTTGTAGGGTTTCGTAATGACCCTCACTACGCGGAAAGAAACCCCCAAGATCCGCCCCGATAACTAAAGTAATTAAAGCATGCAAAACATAATTAATACATAACTAAAAGAAGAAGGGATAAAGAATTATACCCTAGACGCGTGCTTCGCTCGCTAATAGAGCTCTTACTTCATCCTCGCAAATGCAAGTCCTCCGACGGTTCGTACCCTCGAACCCGACCCGATCGTCCTAAGCCCCGAAGGATAGTCGGGACCCGGACAAAATATAAACTTTGGAGTTTTACGAACTTTAAGGTATTCTCAACAATGGAGATGCCTTTATAGCTCAACTCAAGTGTGTTCTTTCCCAAATGCAAAACCCTTGGTATTTATAGGGAAAAGGGACTTGAAACCCTTGTTCAAGATCAATGTGGGATCATGTGCAATTGTGATAATTTTTTTAATTCCAAATTAAATAATTAATCAATTGCAATCAGAATGCAACAAGTGTCAAGAGGGTAGAGAGAGTTAGGTGAGGACCATGTCCCTTTGGGGGGACCATTGCCTTGCTCCCCAAGGCATGCTCCAAGCATTGGTCCCCACCTGTCACTAAACCGGCTTCAAGGTGTGCTAGGCTGGCAGCCAGCCAGCTTGCTGTGCCAGCAAGCAGTGCCAGCACGCACTGGCCTAGCACGCATTGGCCCTAGCAAGCTGCGAGATGCTGGGCACTGGGCGCTGCTAGCATGGTGCTGCTGCCTAGCCATCGCATATGCACACGCACACGCACAACCATGCTAGCTTGTGCATGGTGTTGCTGCCTACCCTTTCTCGCACACACTCGCATAGCCAGCATGCGTGCTACTAGCGAGCCACGCATGCTGGGCATTGCCTCGCCAGCCACGCGCACAAGCATGTGATGCTTGGTGTTGTGCTAGCGATGCTGCAATGGTGAGCTGTGCGAAGGCTGCGATGACATCTAGGCACCCAAGCACGCATGGTGCGGTGGTGCTGTGCTGTGCCATGCAAAGGCACGCACACACACAAGCATGCTGCTGCGATGGGCTCCCTTGTGCGCCTAGCACACATGGCGCGCCTAGCACACACATGGTGCGCCTAAGCTTGCGATAAGCTAGGCTAGCCTAGCACTTCACATGGCTAGGCCAATGTGATGCTACGGCTATGCTCGTACTTGTTGCTTGTGATTTTCCGACGCTCGTTCTTGACGCCCTAGGTTCGATATTCGACGTCCGTGTTCGTAAAACTCCGAAGACTCATTAAATCCTTTGAATTGATTCGTCGTCTAGGATCGGTTGTTCGATTGGGTTCGACCCGAAGGGTTTAGTTAAGATTAAGCTGTAATATTAATTATACCTTAATATTACTGATCAAAAGCGGCCTCCACCTAGGCAGTCCGATCACTTGACCGTACTGAAGAATTAGCTCTGTAATAAATCTGAACCCTCTATCAGAATAATACACTTGTTGGAAGGACACCATTCTTTTCAATCTCCCACTTGTCCTTCCGGACAAGTGAGCATACAGTGTATAGCCCATTTCCTATGTCACTTAATGTCTCTTTGTGATTTATAAGGTAAGATTATTCATCATCCTTATTACGTTCAGAAGTGTTTCTCGATCTCCGAGTTCGACTGTCAATAAGCAGATGATTTCTAAAATCCATCTGAGAACGGCCATGCATTTTCACAGTCTCGCTCTTCGAGCGGCCTTATAAACAACAAAGACATGTTCCCTATTGTTAATAGGGGGACATTCTCAGTCTTGTACTGTAAGTTTCTCTTACTCAAAGGACCTAATCTCCCAAGTGTTCCCGTTATGATCCGCAGTTACGGCAGACGTTAGGCAACATCAAAGAGACTAGTACTCAAACAAGAAAACTTCACAATACTCTTGGTCGAGGAAATAAGTTCCGATAGCTATAATGAGAAATGTACTTATGACAATTTTGAATCTCTTAAAGTACTCTCATAGGTCTGTCCGATGCAGTTCCAAAGTAGCACCTGTGCAAATGATTTATGACTACTATGTCCTTGCAGCACAAGAAACGGTGCTGTAAATCATACTACACACTAATCTCTGGTGGTCATCAATCAGTTAGATGACCTTGTTTAGGGATAATTTTCGATTTAAATATTCAATGTTCACTTAACAGGTGTTTCTTTACCCTAGACATGGTCTTGATTGTAGGGTTTCGTAGTGACCCGACACTACGCGGAAGGAAACCCCCAAAGACCCGCCCCTTAATTAAAGCAATTAACAAGCATAATAAACTTAATCAAACAAGACTAAGAACAAGAATTATACCTTTGTTGCGTGCTTTGCTCCCGAAGAGCTCTTACTTCAAAATCCCGAAACTACGAGATCTCCGACGGATCGTACCCTCGACTAGACCCGAGCGTCCCAAGTCTTGAAGGTTAGTCAAGACCCGGACAAAACAAAACTATGAGTTTTACGAATCAAAGGTTTACTCTAACTACAAGAGTTGCCTTTTTAATTCCACTCAAGGTTGTGTGTTTCCCAATACCATGCCTTTGGTATTTACAGGGAAATGCACCCTTGAACTTCATTCCCTAACCAATGTGGGAGAATGAATAATTTGATAATTAATTTATTTCCAAAATAAATTAATAATTAAATTCAATCACAATACAACAAGTGTCAAGGGGAGAGAGAAGGTAAGGTGAGGACCATGAAGAGGTTGGGGGACCATTGTCTTGCTTCCCAAGGCTTTGCCCAAGCCTTGGTCCCCACCCCTCACAAAGCCGCCTTAAGCATAGGCTGCTGGGATGCTGCCAGCTAGCAGTGCCAGCTAGCCCATCCAGCCAACACCAGCCTACCCAGCAGCCTTTGCATCCCAGCTAGGCAGTGCATGCTTGGTGATGGGCGATGCTTCGCGCTGGTACGTGCCAGTGCTAGGCGCTGGTGCTGGCCCTCCCCTCTCTCGCACATGCTCGCGTAGCCAGCATGCGTGGTGCTAGCGAGCCACGCATGCTGGCCTCTTGCCTCGCCAGTCACACGCACCACCTTCGCATCCCTCACTGCACCTCTCGCACACACACATGCCTCGCACACCTTGCTAGCCCAGCCAACGAGCCTACGCACACAAGGGCTTAGCATTCGTGCTGGGCGATGCTGCTAGGCATCCTCGCACTAGCACACGCCAGTGCCTAGCACTGCTATGGTTGTTCTTGGTGCGAGGCACGCACACGCACATGCACATGCGCCAGTGCCTAGCACTGCGATGGCTGTGCTTGGTGCGTGTGTGGCCCTGCCATGCGCACCTAGGCATCCAGGCAAGCATGTTGCTGTGTTGCAATGGTGCGCCTAGGCTGCGATGCTCAGCGATGGTGCCTAGGCATCATGCTAGGGCTGCGATAGCGCCTAGGCATGATGCTAGGGCTGCGATGGTCAGCGATGGTGTGCCTAGGCTGCGATGGTGCGCTTAGCACACCTAGTGTGCTTAGGCTTGCGCCTAGCCATGCTAGGTGCATGCTAGCTTGAACTAGCCTAGCATCCACATGGTTAGACCATTGTGGTGCTACGGCTACGCTCGTACTTGTCGCTAT